ATTATTCAGAGTGGATGACCCTGGAGGACATTATGCTGAGTGAAATATCTCAGTCACAAAGGGACAAATACTGCATGGTGCCATTGTTGTAGAATGGGACTGACATCAGGGCTGGGGTAAGACTGAGAAAAAAACTGGATAAATTATGTATACTATACTGAAACAGGTGAGGAAAAGAACAGATTAGAGGCAGTATATGATTGAGTATTATGGTTAGCACAGGAGTCCAGAATTAAGGTTGCATAAAGAAGTGTACTCAGTACAGGGGGTGGGCGATGGGGAAATTGTATACCAATGAAGGAATTTTTTTTTCTTTTCAAAGAGAGGAGTGAACTGGTGGGGAGGGGTGGACAGGGAGAAAAGTGCAGCAATGAATGAATGGAAATCCAACATATCTGTAAATGTTTATTAAAATCAATAAAAATGGGGGGAAAAAAAGAATGTGAAGGCTCAGGTGAAGGCCAACTGTAGCACACGTACCTTTCATCATCTTCACAGCCTCTGTCTGGCACGTGGGTGATTTCTTAATGCCAAATGCAGATGCTTGGACCACTTTTCCAAAAGCCCCTTGCCCCAGTGATTTACCTGCAATGAAAGGAAAACACTGGTTTCTATGAGAAAATAACAGTGCTTTATATCTAAAGCCTGTAGGGTGAGTTTGACTCTTTATCAGGAAATAAATGTTTTTTTCCCTATGTGTGTTTAAAAAAAAAAAAAAAAGAACCCCTTCAAATACTGACCACCTGACCTGGAATAGATCCTCAATAAATGGGTAGTGGCCTAGTGGTAAGAAGCTGCACTGCAATCCCAAAGGCATGGTTCAAATCTACCAGCTATCCCCTGGGAAGAGGATGGATAATCTCCTTTCATGTGATTTACTGCCTCTGAACCTCACGGGAGGGAAGCATAAGAATCCCTGTAGATGCTCTGGCCCCTACGGGCACATCTTCTGAATGGGAAGTGATTGAGCAAAGGGCGAACTGGTTTAGGGCTGGAGTGAGGGGCCAGGCCACTGGCTAGGAGCAGCAGGGGGGTGGCAGGGCCCTAGACAGAGGAAGATGGGATTGGCACAGTGCATGGCTTTGCGTCTTGCCAAAGACTGTTGGCCTCCTCCTTCCAGCAGCACGAGATTCACCCCCAAATTAAAACTAAATAAATCACTGTAATAACAGTGTGAAGCGCATCATTGCTGGCATGTGGCAGCTCAGTGGGGGTGGACGCAAGGGGTGGAGGGGAAGCAGCAGGAGATTAACCCTTGGCAGGTAACTTGGCTGTGGAGAGATGTGGAGGGTGCTGGTGAGGCCAGAGCAGGCCAGTGGCTCCTGTCAGGCTGGGACAGAGCGTGATGGAACGTTCTGGGTGTCATTAGGAAGTGTGGGATTGAGAGATTGCTGGAATCTTAGAACCTCTTCTCTAATGCTCTGGCCGTGTGGTCAGAGCGTGGTCATGCAGCTCATACCCTAGAGTGTTACCTTGTGCTCTCTGAGGCTGGTGTCAAGGTCATGGTTCTGAGGGGGTGTTTTCTCACAGCTGGGAAGCTCAGCAA